ACCTAAAAAGGGATGGCCTCCAACCTAGTAGCGATGGCCTCCACCCTGAAAGCGATGGCCTCCACCCTGGTAGCGATGGCCTCCACCCCAGTTGCGACGGCCTCCACCCTAGTAGCGATGGCCTCCACCCTAGTAGCGATGGCCTCCACCCTAGTAGCGATGGCCTCCACCCTGGCAGCAAAGGCCTCCACCCTAGTAGCGATGGCCTCCACCTTAGTACCGATGGCCTCCACCCTGGTAGCGATCACCCTGGTAGCGACGGCCTCCAGCCTGGCAGCAAAGGCCTCCACCCTAGTAGCGATGGTCTCCACCTTAGTAGCCATGGCCTCCACCCTGGTAGCGATCACCCTGGTAGCGACGGCCTCCAACCTAGTGGCCATTGCCTCCACCCTAGTAGCGATGGCCTCCACCCCAGTAGCGACGGCCTCCACCCTAGTGGCGATGGCCTCCACCCCAGTAGCGACGGCCTCCACCCAGTGGCGATGGCCTCCACCCTGGTAGCGATGGCCTCCACCCTAGTAGCGAAGGCCTTCACCCTGGTAGTGATGGCCTCCACCCGGTAGCGCTCTGGTAGCGATGGCCTCCACCCTAGTAGCGAAGGCCTTCACCCTAGTAGCAATAGGGATGGCACCAAAAGAACACACATCTATTACACACAAAACTCTAGCTGTCGAAAGGCGCTGGAAGCGACCAATGCGACAAACATGCGACCGTTACGATGCACTCGCTTTTTCGGCACCTCATCGCTCGTCGCTTCAGCATCCTGGAGCCATTGCACACGACCTGTTGCATAGCCTGAGATCTGTCGCTTCCTCATAGAAAAGGCTGTTTGACGGTTCAGCTGTGATCGTTCTTTGCTCCAAACTTGCAAAGACTACTATAAGGTTGACTTCTGGAATTTCAGAGCCAGTCACCATCTTTCTCGCCCCACTCCAACACCTGTCCAAGGCGGCTTTCAACGCAGTCTTGATACAAGCTCAGATCAGCTAGATTAGCCACAAGGGAAGCCAAAAAGTGGAAGCAAAAGAAAAAGATTTGAAGTGAGTGTATAAAAACCGACTTCAATCTACGGCTAGCGACACGTGAAAAACAGGACCACTACTCAGGGGCGGTGTTCTTTCTTTGTGCCCACAGGGCCTGGAACCGGCGAGTGCCTATGGTTTTGATCTGCGAGCGACCATCTGGCAACCTGCCACTAGTAGGTTCTTGTTCCCGGTAGTATCGCCGGAAGCTACTAGTAGCGTCCTTGCTCCTAGTAGCGATGCTCTTGTTACTAGTAGCTTCTTCTTCCTAGCAGTAATAAGATAAGCCCGTGGTTTTCAAGGCAGAGAAAGGTCACCAGCCAAGGCTCTGTTTAAAGCTCTGGATATGAAGCATCGTACCATACTGAGCACCTGGGAAAAGGCCTCGATTTCAGGAGGATTGCTTTAACGAATGTCCGAATCGCATTGAATGGCTCAAATGTGCAAAGGAAAACTGGTGCGAGAAAAAAGTCAGCACAGTGGCAAAATACGGCATCTCAGTGGGAAGCAATATGCGGCATGAGTTTTACCGGGATACATTCTTTGTCACACGATTGATTGCAAGTGTCTATGCCTCTGTCCTCTCATCCTCGACAAAAGTTGTCTACAAACGTTTACTTCTGTCAGGCTCAGTTGACACGGCTGTCAGCCCGTTTTGATTCGAATGACCACGGATGAACCGTGCACCATGGCCAAGCGGCACATGCCGAACTGCCGCTGCCCAGAGTCGATGCAACGACGCATCATCAGCCTCGCTCTCGCTTAGACTCGCATCTTCATTTCGCCCCGGAATCTGTCAAATCCTCCAAATCAATGCATTAGAGTTTTTTTGACAAACTACCGTAATCCCGTTCCTCCGGCCACGTATCCTTCTCACCGCCCTGCCTGTAGCGTGGCTCGAAAATGTGCAAGGGGCATGCAACCTAAGAGAGGAGAGAAGGCTGGAGGACATGTAAAGCACCTCTCGAAGTCTGAGATGTCCTTTTTTAGCCCGCTCCCCCCCTCCCTACTTAATTAAGTAGGCACCTACTTAACTAACGGAGTAAGCTACTAGGCCAAGTTATGGATGCAGGATAGCTCACGCTTCTCCCCCCGCCCGAGGGCGGAGAGCTTCCTTGAAGAAGCGCTCGCTCCAATGATTTGGTTCCTATTCTTTTTGGGAAACTTATATAACATGATATAACTAGCCGCTTCTTGCTCCTAGTAGTAAGGCCAGGAGCCCCTAGTAGCGTCCTTGCTCCTAGTAGTGATGCCCTTTGTTCCTAGTAGCTTCTTGTTTCTGAGACTTTGAAGGATACAAGTCAAAAAGGTGGCGCAGGTCAGTTGCAGCTGTAAGTGAATTCGGCAAGCAGCTGCTGGCATAGCCATTGAGCAAATGAAGATTGGAACCTTGGACACCAAACATCAAACTGAATATTGCAATGTTTTTATCCCACACTGGCTCACCTTCAGTCAGTTTGCGTCTTGTCGATTCACAACTCATAACGACTCGTCACGATTCGACCAGGAAAACTCTCGATTCTCAGCAAGGCTCCACAGGTGCATCAGGGCTTCCGGCCGCCTCAGCCTCAGCCTGAGCAATCTGGGCAGTACGCTCGCTGTTCCTCGGCAAACCAACTTTAATACAATCTGTCTTTCTTCAACCTTAAAGATCCTGAAAAAAAAGACAGAGCTAAATCGTTCGAAGATTGAAGCGTATTCGATCTCAGCATCTCTTCCGGGAAGTGCCGTTGAATGATTGCAGAGATCTTCCGGTTCACCTTGACCGATCACTCAGCATTGCACTCACGAGCTCTCGGGCAACAAAAGGAAACGGGGAAGCAAACGAGCAAACGAGCTCTCTTTCTGCGAATTGGTGTGATGTGTTGCAAACACCAACAGGAACCGTGAGGACCATCCACTAAATATGACTCAATCTATAGCAACGTAGGCCCGTGCTTGCGCGTGCTGAAGCTGAGCGCTTGAAGCTGCCGAGCAGCTGGTATCTGTGTTCCACCATGGACTAATGCTCCATTCGCCTTCCAGGTGCCAGCATTAAGCCAAGCCTGAAAATCCATCCACACAGCTCATCTGTTGCATTCAGACATTAGTTCAGCGAACATTTTGTCTAATTATGGATCTTCTGAAAAATCCTCGCTCGTCAGATTGACTCATCATGTCCTGCCCATTTGCGACATGAAGTGAGTTCATTACGATGGCCTCCAACCTAAGAGCGATCGCCTCCGCCCTACTAAGGATGGCCACCAACCTACTAGCGATGGCCTCCAACCTACTAGCGATGGCCTCCACCCGGCCTCCGCCCTACTAGCGATGGCCTCCGCCCTACTAACGATGGCATCAGCCCTACTAACGATGGCCTCCAACCTAGTAGCGATGGCCTCCACCCTACTAGCGATGGCCTCCTGTACTAGCGATTTCTAAGTTCAACGAGGGGCCAAATATCCTGATAGATCTGCCCGACACATGGGGCAGCTGGGTGCCGTGTCGAAGGCGTGATCCAAAGTGCGAGCCAGGCAGGGACGGCCTGAGGCGAACAGGAGACTCGACAAACGAAATGTTGAAGGCTATTTGCACCACTATGTGTTGGTGGCTGCGGCTACGGGTTTGCGTACCTTCGTCGCTTGAGCCTCACCTCAATCCCCTTTTACAAGGTACTGCACTTGACTAAGCTTCCACATAAAGGTCATTCATTCACAAAACGAGTGCACCTTGGGTTGAATGTGGTTGGATCCAGGTTGGCATTGGCATTGAGAGCTAGAGAAAGGATCGTAGAAGCTATACGCTAAACAGCTTCAAGGCATTCCTCTCCCGTGTCCATTGTCCTTGCATCCCTTTGTCCTTTTGGTTCTTCTCCTTCTTCACTGATGCCTTGTTCCTTTACAAATTCCTGCCTAAGCACCTTTGTCAAACATAGTACATCTTCCTTGGCGTGTTGAGACGGAAATCCGTTGGAGCAACTTGGTCAGGTCCAAACCACCCGAGCACACTGGGACAGCTTCTTCGCTTTGGTCTAGTCGCACAAGGTGTGGCCACATGGAATGGAGGATGGCTCCCAAAGCCTTGGCGTCTCGAGTTCCGTGAACATCATGAAAAGCTTCTTGATTTCAAAGGCGACTGGCAAGTTCAAAGTGCCGAAAACTTGAAAAATGGCGTCGGTCAGCGCCACTTTCGCCAGGTCACAAACCCAAACACAGTGGACATTCCAAGTGATTCCTCAGCCATTCCTGACAGAACGAAGATGGGATGGTTTCTTCGCCAAAATACGCGTCTAGCGATTCGTGGTACGAAGCCTTTGGCTTGAACTGCACTTCAGGGCCTGGTCATTGTGAAAGTTAAACTTTGATGCTCCAGTCTCCATGAACTCCGGGAGCCCCTCCTTGACACCACAAAATGCACAAAACACAATCTGAACAAGAATCATGAGCAAAGACAACGTTTGCAGGTTGGTTGTCCAGCTTTGTCAGCTTCATTCTAGAAAAATGCCTAGAGTTTCTCCACTTTGGTTTGTTGAGACAGCCCCATGCAGACAGCTTGATGGGGCGGGCCTTTGAGATTGGGCCAAGGGCTAAGCGGCTAAGGATTGAATGCTGATCTGTCAAACTGTTCGGCTCAAGATGGCCTCAATGGGAGGACATCTGCCATCTTCCAGCCATTTCTTTACCTCCAAATGGCCAACAGAAGTGATTCTGTCATCTCCATTCAGTGCCCGCCTTCTCCAGCTCAGTCCTGGATCTTGTGGACAGCGAGTGTCGAATCGAAAGTCTAAGCTTGGAATGATACAGGGATCCTGACAGGATCTGGTCTCACAGGCTTGTCCTGCACATCGAAGAACAAAGCTCTTGGAGCCCATCCTCGGCACCTTCAACCAGTCTCTTTCACAACTTTCGTAGACCCCCAGGATCATGGATCAATCACTAAACAGCCAAGACTGGCCTGCTCGAGCAAGTGCAAAGGTGGCTAGAGCCATCTGTCCTTCCTGCTTCAAGGCTTGCCCCAAACGTAGCCAAGCCTAGCTTGGCGCAAAAGCCGGAGGTGTGTGGGGGGGGAATTCAATAATTGCTGTCATAAATAGCAGTGCTGTTTCAAAAGGCCAAAAACAAAAGGCAAGGCATCACCAGGCATCCATGCTGTGCCTTGCCTTGGCCAACATGGCACTTCCAGAGCGGCGTAGCGCTCCTGCCAAAGCCATCTGTGCATCTGCCACCGCACCTGTACTGTCCTTGGTTGACCCGCTCACAGAACGGTGTGAGAACAGAGCAAATTCCGCTCAAACAAAGCAATCCATGCGTTGCGACACGGTTCTTTTGACATCAAGGATCTTCCAGCTTCAATCGTGCAAGTGAGCGATTGCAAAGCACAACGATATCCGGGGAACTGGCCATAGCTTCGGAATAGGCCTTCGGAATAAAGATTCCAAGATTCCGAAAAGGAAAGAAACGGGGGCATCATGGGGCATCTGCGTTTGCCTTCACACTGTCTCTTTTCTCGTTCTGTCGATTGTCTCGTATCTCTTCAGATTTCCCGCTTCCGCCAATCCCGCTCCCCCAAGTTGTTTCCCATTGGCCCCTGTCTGCACCTCGGACGCCTCAGCATACTTACCTTCGCCGAAGAGCCGATTGCCTTCGGCCGCCAGACTCAGTGGACTCCAACCTACTAGCGGCCTCCAATCTGCTAGCGAAAATGGTTTGGTCATCCGCTAAATCCGATGCATCGGTCGGACTGAACCAGATCCATGCGCTCCCCACGCAACTTGCTAGCTATTCACTCATAGGGAGTATAGGTGGGGGATGAAGGCATGAATCAGAGCAATGTGCAACAACCAGAGAAACTTCTTTACTACGCCTTCTCACAGAAGCTAAATCTCAATGACAAATGAGCAGGTCACAACTTACCCTGCTTGCACCATGATCAGGGAATCCATCGGCAAGACGATGCCTCATGTGATGTAGGACTTTCCATTTACAACAGGAACACTCTTGGAAGTCAACTTGTAAGGATTGGCCAAGGGTGATTGGATGTGGTTGAAAATGTCCCAAGTCCCGAGCATCAGAACGCTGCAAGGAGGGTTTCATTCGGTTTCATCCGACGCTCGAGCCTTGCTGTCGTGCCTGAGCAGCCTCGGCCAACGCAGGGGGGCAGCGGCCCAACAAGTCACTCAAGATCACCTCAGTACTCGGTCCACGCTGCGCTACTCACTTCTACTCACTTCTACTCACTCTTCAATGGTCACGATATGGAGAAAAACGAATCTACATTATCATGGTAACGACCCATCCTGGTGTGATAAATGCACCAAGTGGCGTTGGCCGCGCTTCCAAAGCCAAGCCTGACATGCACGGAGTTTTGTGGACTTGAGCCAAGCCTAACACAAACAATGTAACAAAACAAGTGCTAAATGCTCCACTGAGCGCTTCAGGGACCAAGTCTCAAGTCTTGCCAAGTGCCAAGTGGCTTCTCCTTGTTTTCAGGCTCAGGTAGAGCTTGTGCCAGTCGCCGCTTTTTCACGCAGGGGCGACATACTGTGAGGCCTCGAGTTGGGTGTGGTGGTTCGACGTCGTTGCAAAATATTTTGTGCACGGAAGAACAGTTAATGAATGTTGAAGACCTCTATAAAAGCCTATGAAACGAAAATACAAATGTCCAACGGTCTGAGAAACAAGGATGCAAAAACATAGAAATTTATGAGAGTAAGAAATGCACCTTTGAAACACGGCACTAAAGTTGACAGAGTGGAAACGTACCTTTCACATGGCTCCAAGCACCTTCTTAGACTCTGGGCGGCCGTCGGCGGCCGTTACTGTCTCAGTTTGACTCTGGCAGATCAATGTGGTGAATCAATTGAGGCCAAGTAAACGTGGAAACATTGGAAGTATATAAATCACCGCACTGGAACCGGAAGTACATCAGAACTTGCAGTCCATCAATGAGTTCAGCTTGCAAAAGACCGCGGAGTCAAGTCCCAAAATACCAATTGCAGCGGCCTCCATCTTCAACAGAGTCAGGAAAGCTCAAGCCAAACAACACCAACCAGCAGACAATATTAATCTTAATCACTGTCTTGTCGTGGTAATTGGTCGTCTTATCGTGCTAGCAGGTGTCTTGCCAGGTTGACTGCTGCCTGGTCGAGGGATCAAACCTTCCTTCTACTTGGGCTGCGGCTGCAGCCTGCCCTGCAGCCAAGCATCCATCTTCCAATGTTGTGGGTTCAAACAACAAGCTTTCACACCTGGTTCTGCGGTCACCGACTACACGGCATTAAAGAAACCCACACAAAATACTGAGTTTTGAACTCAGAACCTTCAGAGGACAAGTCCACTTGGAAAGGCTTTTCTGAATTCTAAGCCCAAGGGGCAGGCCATAAAGGTAGGCCAAAGTAAGCTAGCAAGTTAACATTGAGCTTAAGAAGCTACTAACGATCGGATGCAGGAAAGCTCAGGCTTCTTCAAAGAAGACCTTGCACCATTCATGTGGCTGCTAGGATTTTGGGGAAACCGATGCAAGCTGTAACTTTAAAAAGTAACAAGTTCAAAAAAATAACAGGTGTTATTTTGCCAAGACTCTGCATGCAATCCAGCTCTCCAAGGAAGTCGGGGCCATCAGATGCTTTCGGAGAGCTGTGCAGGCTGTGCAGAGTTCTTTCCTACACACCATGGAAGATGCCGAAGATGCCAGAAAGTTGAAAGTGTAGGCTGTACTACGAATGTCTTACAACGAGACTAGTGTTTGCAAACACTTGGAACTTGCGCTCGAAACCTCTATTGTCCAGAATAAAATCATAAAGGAAGACTTCATCATCTTCATCCGAGTTCAAGGAGAAACCGCCTTGGCCAGTTGCAGGATCTCAGCTGTGAGAGTCTGGCCGTCTTGTCCGTCAGCGCCGTGCGATGCCTCGACCGACATCTCCAGTTATCTGATCTTCCACGAAACACCGTCTGATGCACTTGCATGCATGGAAAAGAAAAGACTACAAATACTGGGGCACATGTTGCGAGTGTAACATATTGTGAGTGGTGAAAGTAAGGAAAACACATGACTTGGATAGCACACATAGGGGCTTGGCCTCGCACTGTTCAATCACTTCTGTTTTGTTTGCTCTCTCTCCCTTTGTTTCACTTCTGACTTGGGGCAGAAACGTCTGCTTCTGGCTGCAGCTTTTGCGGCGGAGTGGGCTCAGCCTCGCGGAGAATTTTGTATATATGTATATATTTGTAATCTCAATGCGAGTGAGAGAAGAAAGAACGCTCGTTGTTCGAAAAGCAGTCTTCTGATGTCTGAATAGTGGAATTTGGATGTCGTGGAATTGCCTCTTGCCGACGTGACATCGAGGCGGAAGAGGAGCCCATTGCGGTGAACCTTCCGATGTCGCCAAATGTTGCCAAGCCGCCAAGTCGCTAAGCGTTGGATGTCGAAACCAAAACGAAGCGACGAAGTGTGTCGAACTATTGGATATCAATGTCAGAAATGGTTCCCTCCAATCAATTATCTCTTGTGCCACATAGGAAGCACCATGTCATGATTCTTTGTTGAATTGGAGTCTACTACACTTGAGCCTAGCTCCCTCATGACATGTACACCTGTACAATGTCGAAACTCTGGAACGAGGCTGACGAAGTTCCACTGAATTCCATGAAAACTCTGACAAGAACACACAAAGCTCTCGATCTCCATTCTCCACAAAGAAAGGAGCACAGAGGGCTGAGGACTGCTGACAGTGCACTCGCCCTTATTTTCGGCAAAGGACTCCAACGCCCCATTGGCAGGAGGAGACTCGCAGGAGGCAAGTTGAAGATTTGCACAACTGTGGAAGCTCAAATGACCAGTCTTCGTTGTTCTTGGAATCACTCCATGCCCCATACTTTCTACGATATATATATATAAATATATGCGCTTCAAGCCATAAATGGACCATCGCAGGTTTGAGAGTCCGAGAGGACATGAAGACTTGAAGAATGCCGAGACAATCTTCCCCAAACCTCCTGCTTAAGAAATGCGCGCTCCGGCCACACAGGCCACCCCCCGGGAACACACAAAGACCCTCCAATCGAACGAATGAACACTCCATGTGCAGATTGTGAACTCTCCATATTTGGAGAGCGTGTATTTCTGAACAAATCTTCTTTTCAGTTCATTACTGTAAAAAACGAGAAGTAACGGATATCGAACGATATTGATTTCGCAATCAACAGCTGGTTGAAAAAGGCAAGGTCCATGCTGGCATGCCCCTACCCCGGAGGGGCTTTGAATAGAGAGGATGCTGTGCTGCCAAAAGTGGCACTGCAATGGCACAACTGGCCAATGAAAAGTTGACGAATATGAGGAGGGCATCGCGGTGTCATGGCATGACGTGATGAGCTTGATAAATACTTACAAGACATTGAATAGATTAAATATGATTGATGAATGACCGAATAGATTGCAATAGCAAACCTGCAGACAGCGCAGCTACCCAAGTTTGGTCGATGAAAAGAAACCAAACGATGGTCGCATTGCTTGAAGATCCCGCTATCGTCTTGTTTTGGATATTGGGCCGTTTCCGGTGTCTTCTACGTGGTCTGTCGGGCCATTGCTCAGATCGCCAGGTCAGTGCTCTCCGCATAGTCCAGGCCTCAGCATTGAGATGACCGAAGTGGAGAAAGAAATTCTATTTATATATTGTTTCTACTGGCTTTGTTCCTAGTAGTAAGGCCCTTGCTCCTAGTAGCGATGCCAGGAGCCCCTAGTAGCGTCCTTGCCCCTAGTAGGACAAGTGGAGACTTTGTCCGAGACTTTTGCTGTCATCCTTTGTCCGTCTCAATCTCGGTGCCGTGACCCATTTTGATCTCAGCTTGAAGAATCGATTTTGCTTCCTTTAAGCGCTCCTCGTCTCAACTTCTTTCAAGAGCGAAGGGAGCCGCGCCAAAGGTTCACAAAGAAGAAAACGAAGAGGTTCATCACTGATCGATAATTTCCAAATGTTTGCATACACGCATATCATATAGCAGTGAGTCTTACACATCATCAACTTGATTGAGGATTTTGCTGAATTCATGTGAGAGGTGGGCTTTAGAGGAACAGTGTGTTGTTCCCACAAAGGACGGCCTTTTGGTGAGGGCCCAAGGCTTGGTGAGTGTACCCATGTCCAAAAATAACCCAATAGTAAGGACGCTACTAGGGGCTCCTGGCATCGCTACTAGGACCAAGTTATTTGATCACCCCCCTCACGGGCCTGAGAAAATCATGTGGCCGATTCATGGTGGTCGCGAGTCCAGAAAGAGGGATGCAGAGCACATAAAGAGAATTCAGTCCTTCTCGTAGTTGTCCAGACGTGGCAGCTGGTGCACCTAAGAATCTCAGGATGCCAATGCTTGGGCGGTTCTACACCCAAAGAGACAGTTCGAAAGGCGCGTTAAACATTGTGCATTGACATGTCTTAAATGTTGCTCAAGTGCTTGCTACTGGGCTATTAGTGGCTCTCCTGCATAGCCGCTCTGCAAACATGTGAGAGTAAGCAAACAAGCTTTAAAGCAAAATTCTTCCAATATCAAAGTCCTGGGCACACGGTCAACGCCCCGAGGCCCAAAAGTGACCGGTGACGCAAAGTACGGCAGCTCCGTGACATTGGACCTGTGCCGTTCAGATTCGTTCGTTTGAGACACTCCGTTTGGTTCTGGGTAGCAGTCGTTGGCACATGGACATAGCAAGGGGTCTTCCGGGCGTTCCTTTGTAAAGAATACTAACAAGAAAGCCTTCCTTCTAGGTTGCAGGCCATCGCTGGTAGGTTGGAGGCCGGGAGGCCATCACTAGTAGGTTGGAGGCCATCGCTTCCAGGTACTATATACCCTGGTCAAGAAAGTTTTCTTGGACCTTATTGTTAAATAGTCCTTCAGCTCAGTGGCTTGACGAAGGCGCACTCCTTAGTCCAGATCCCAGACGTGCTGAAAATGAGCCGCATTCCGTATCGCATACAGAAAAGAAATGAAAAAGAAGGTGTGATCAGGCCTCTTTCATAAGGCCCCCAAGAACGAGAGGGGCCTCATTAAAGAGGGCCCAATCACACCTGCTGGAGACAATAAGAATATCATTATAGATGTTTCCACCAGCATTGGAACTCAAGGAAGAAAAACAACATGCTGAAACTGTTTCGGGTCTATGCTGGTATAGTTTGTTATTTAATGTTCTTTTGAATTCTCCGTCTTTTTCCAACTCTGCTTCGTCATTCGTTCAGGTAGTGAAGGCCAAGAGCAAACTTTCTTGAAAGAGAGCAGGCCGGTCTTTCTTCACCTTCTTCACTTTCTCTGTTTTAACGCTTTAAACATAAGTAAGTATTACAGTAAAGCATAATCTTGAAGATTTGGTGCTTCCCGTCTCTCTTCTTTCAAACTTCTAGACTCTAGGCCGGTCGTTTGTTCTTTCATCTTTCCCTTCTGTAGCTTTCTCGCTGCAATCTGTCATAAAACGTGGAATGAGGAGGATCGGAGGAACGATTTCATCAAGCTCAAGTGCATGGACAAGGTGTGTCGTGTTGGAGCGCTGCCACTAGCCCCGAGTGCGCTCACAGTCTGAGCTTCGAGCTACACTAACGTCACTAAGGAGAGGTCCTTTAAAAAGGAGCTTGTGGAGGCGGAAAAAACAAAGCACTGTTTTGGCTGCTCTGGGTATCTGGCCGTGGTGCGATTTCCCGCCAAGCCATTTAGCACAGCACTGCCCAGCAAGTACCCAGCATAACCTCAACATCTCAGCTACAGCAAAACAAACGCTCAAAGTTCATGCAATTCAGATTGAGAAGGGTTGGAGGCGATTGAAACCCTGTCTTGAAAAATGAAAAGGCCGGGCCCGGCCTAGTGAGAGTGTGGCGCTGCCCTTCCCACACTTCGCACGCACAATTTCTGCTCCTGACCGTGGGCCACGAGCACCGAGCGCATCGAAAAATTCTCTTGACCGATGGCCTCCACCCCACAAGTAGCGATGGCCTCCAACCTAATAGCGATGGCCTCCAACCTGATAGCCTCCAACCTAATAGCGACATTGTTGCAATATCAAAGCTTGGAATACAACTTGCAGTCGCTATTGGCTAGCCGAAGCGCAGACCAAAGATCCCCACTCCGCACAGCCTGCATCTTGAACTCGGACATCCAATGACTTCCGGAGCTCCAGCGAGAGATCAGCACAGGCTTTCTCCTCAGGTGCAACTAGGTGGTCTCGTTCCATGAAGCATTGTGAGACAAGGCGACAAGTTCTGCATCACTTTGGAGCAATCTTTCACGCGAAAAAATACCCGGATACCCCTTGTCCCTTTTTCAAATTCCTCAGCAAGCACCTGTCCTGTGAGAAAAGCGGCAAGACTGACTTGCCGGCGTGTCCGCCAATCACAGGCCTCAACAAGTGTGCCAAAAAAGAGCTTATCAGCACGGTGGCAACCATCGAGCGGATGAAGAAGTGTCGTTTGTTCCCCTTGGCACCCCCACACGTTTATGGAATCCACCGGCGCGCCAGTCGCTTCGAAGACAAACTTGTTGGCTCGGACCACATCCAGCGTAGTGACGCCTCGTTGATATCCATCGAAAGTGCTGAGGGAACGGAAAAGCATATTTCAATGATATCGGCATGTTTGGATAAAAGTAAGTTGGACCCCTCAGAAATGTACAATTTCCAAAATACAATAGACTATGCAATAAGGTTAAACATCCTACAATAAACTACACAATAAGTATCTAGAGTCCGGCTCATTCGGCTACGCATCATCTGGCGTGTTGGCTTGGGCATGAATGCCCTTTCCTTGCGCGCTCGCTCTCTCTCTCTCTCTCTCTCTCTCTCGTGAAGCAAACGGTGCGGGCGGTTGCCATGGCCAAGCGACTTGAATATATTGTTTAAAAACATAAGAGCCTTTGTCATCCTCAAGCTTTTTGCTGGGAAACTCAACATGCTCAGAAGCATTTTGTCTAGAAGTTCAAAGTAGAACACAGTGTGCTCATCCAAAACGTGCTCTTCCTGCAGCTGCTAACATATTTGCCTTTGATCTAGGAAGGTCATCTTTCAACCATGCGAAGGGTGCAGGAACGACAGTGTGCAACCAGCTATCCTACCTCTAAACCTATCCAAACTGACCGCTTTTTCAAACAAGTACACATGTCCAAAGGGCATTTATGCTAGCATATGCGTTGGCGTGAACTCCGGGCGTGAACTCCGGGCCACTAAGCATACTAAGCTCCCAACCGATGATCCTCCTGGGATCCAAGCCTTTCTTCTCGTAGAGCCTTGAACAACAAAGAAATGAGTAGGAAAGTCATGCAGCAACCAGTATAAGGATTCGATTGACATCTTCTGCAATCTAGGTTGTGGTTGCACATTCTCCGACAGTCGCAAACTGCAGGAGTGGAGGGGCACCTCGCCATGGCAGGCACCACAGAATTTACAGGGTTCACGATGAGCCCCACGATCGCCTCGAGCAAGAGGTTGAAAGCACTCAGATCTCAGCCCTTCTGAGAGAAGCTTCATGAAGGTACTCAACTGAAGCATTGAGCTATGTTCGTCTATATTAGGTTGGAGGTTATCTGCAGTAGGTTGGAGGCCCAATATATTATTTGGCTCTTGAGACTCTTGAGCTATGCTTGGTGGGTTGAAGTGTGGGCATGGCTGAAGACTCAAGACAACCGCTGACCACGTATCGCACCTTGCCTCTGGGCATCGCTTTGCACATGCCTCCACAACCTCAAAAAGCGAGGTCGGAAAAGCTGTGGAAGGATGACTTGAAGAACCGCTTTCTAACAAAGATTTATGAAAAGAAGGTGTCCACAAATACCGCAAAACGAATCAAATTCAGACCAGCCTCCCTAGGACATTCACTCTGACTTTTCAACTTCAGCTCGTTGACTTTCTTCAACTGAGCTCCGCTGCTAGCTTTGCGATTCCCGCGTTCACTTGAAGCAAGTCCTCAAGGCACTTTTGTCTGTCGGGCTTGAAACGGAAATTGAGACCGGCTTTATAACGGTGACCGCAGGTGTCTGAGATCATACGCGTCTGGACATTTGGAAAGGAACAAGAACGCTACTAGGAGCAAAGGGCATCGCTACTAGGAGCAAGGACGCTACTAGGGGCTCCTGGCCTTACTACTAGGAACAAGAACGCTACTAGGAGCAACTTTCCAAGCTTGGGCATGTTTGGAGAAACACTCACACTCCTTCCGGCTCTGTCCGGGCTTCCGAGGAACTCCTTTCCGCTCGGAAGCAGAAGCGAAGAAACAACACAACGACGAAACCAAGCATTCTGAAACCAAAACCAAGCGATGGCCTCCAACCTAAAAGGAATTGCCTCGGACCTAATGGCGATATTTCTCCTACATTCAGGAAAGAACTTATTGGAGTCCACAATTTAGCAAAACATTATGATTAGCATGCTTGCAAATGCTTGCATTCTTGTTTGTGGCAAGAAGTTATATATGTCGGTCTAAGACATTACAGATGTCAGATTGCAGGTCCGGAAGCATCGGCAAGCAGTGTCAAAAGCACGTCGTTTCGTCCGGATGCTGCGGACTTTGAGACTTAATGTCCTGTGTCTGGTTTGGTTGCTCTGAGATTTTCCATGTGGGCCGCTTCTTGATTCATACAACCTCGCAGCTTTCATAGTGCTTTGTGTTCCGTCTCCGAGAAGCCTGCACATGCATAACACAAACGTGCTACCGCATCATCACCTTTCTTCAAATAGAACTGCTGAATAGTGCTGCCGGTAGGTACAAACAAAATGTGGTTGTCAAAATGAACGCTGGCAGATCGTTCCAAGCCATTCCTTGCTCAGTAGTTCGCAATTCATTAAGGCGAAGCTAGTGGCAGGGCTAGCGCCAAATTTCTGCACCAACGGAGCGCTGGGCAAAGCCGCTGGTGGCGCTCACCTACCTCTTTTTTCCTAGCGCCGTGCTTGGGGAATGGCGCTATTCCTTGGGTGCCAATTCTAGCAAATTCGTTTGTTGTTCAAGCAACATGATGCAACCAAGTAGACTCGAGAAAGTGAACACTACTTTTGATACTCATCTAAATTTACTTTGATGACGCAACCAACTCAATGCTCAATATATTGGCTGGCCTGCAGTGACAAGCACCAGTGAACAGCCCTCCAAGCAGGCTGCCGGCAAGTCTTTCACCGGTCTTGCCTGGTTCAAGGACAAAGCACGAGTGCAACACCAAGTGCAACACCAAGTGCATCTTATGCATATTCCACATAGTACAGGCTGGCCTGAGCAGGCAGGGAATAGGCTTTGACTCTGCATGGAAACCTGAGTCGAAGAATGAGGCATCCCAGTTCCAATGCAGGCGATCAGGCGTTTTCCACTGCAGGCGATTTCCTTCTGGGCTGGGAACTCGAGATGGGACAGGTCAGTGGCCACCCCTTCTGCAGGGACCATGCCGCCCTGAACAGCTCGGAACTGATCTCGGACTGGCGATTTCCATGTCTGCGTCGTGTTTCTTTTAGCCCGTGGCCCTGCCTCCTGAACTGCTTAATTAAGTACGCGCCTACGTAGTTAAGTACGAGCGACTAGCTTGCTACTAGGAGAAGTTCGCTCCTAACTAAAAAGCAGTATAGATCACGCTAATGATTTGGTTCCTAGATTTTTTGGGAAACCCTCTTAGAATTTGTCAGAGCAAACAATTGTCACAAATGTCACAATGACAGTGTAAAAGATTCTTCAGTCAGAATCTCTCAGACAGAGACATGCAGAGACAAACAGTGAGGGACTGAGACAGTTGGCACCTCCAGATCATAGACAGAGAGCTCCTTGACCATGGTGTTTGTAGCCATGAGAAGTGCCAACTGCTGACCTGCCACTTGTGCTCTTTTCTATTCCTTGCCGAACAAAAAATAAAGGTTAGGAAGTCTTGTTGAAGTAAATTGGTCAAAACAAGAGCTTGAAGCTATGTCTGGCCTATGCTGGTTGCACCGCCGCATATGCAAACTTTGAAGCTCTCCTGGGAAGTCAGGCCTTCTAGACTTATAATATCAAGAGAAAACTCCTCTGCGGATTCCGCACTCTTGTTGCAAAAGTCAGTTCCAGTACATTCAGCTGCTGTGATACTTTGAGTCCCAGTACCATCTCCCATGTCGAAATTCTATCTTATATATCGTCTTGCACATCTCTTGGGTGGCACAGGTAGCCAAAAATCATGTGTATCATATGATACGATGCAACACATAAATGTGTAAACACATTACGTATAAAAAACGGTCCTGGCATTGCTACTAGGAGCAAGGACGCTACTAGGGGCTCCTGGCCGTACTACTAGGAGCAACCTGGCTACTAGGAGCAAGGATGCTACTAGGAGCAAAGGTGGACCCTGAATGCACTTGACCTTCTCACGCTGTCCTTCTTGGGGATGCCGAAGCCTTCGAAACATTGGCAATTCCCCATTGGCTTCGCATCAAGGATGAAGCCAAAGCTGGCACCCCTCGTAGAATCAAAAAATGAAATGAGCCAGCGCTTCGAGCTTTCAAGCTGGATTCAATTGCTTCAAGCTTTCAAGTTGGACTCATCTTGTCGTTCCCACTCACTTTACCTATGACACTCATGCGCAAGATCTATCTGCGCCTGCCTTGCATTCCAGTCCCAAGCAAGAGTCCGCATGTTTTGTCACGATATGGTATTGAAGGCAACTTGGAAATCCTGGAAACCGTGTCGTCTACATCCTGACGAGCAGAAAGGTTGACAGAAAGTCTCAGCCCGACATTGGGACCAAGCCTCAATCCGGAGGCCAGAGTTCGTGAACATCGTCATCTGTGCAAGGTGTTTTCGCTGTTTCAACTATGTATGAATTGTGTCGAGTATGGCGAGTGGAAGCAGTACATTGCACAATTGACTCTGTCTCTGTACAGGCAAACCGGCTCTCCCTCATCTTCAACACCCGTTTTGTCCAACTGTACACTGCTGAGCCAAAGTGGCAGGCTTAGCTTCACATCTTGCACTCCCAATTCAAACATCCTCAGTAGATTCGGATTCACCTGCAGCTCGTACATGTTCACAGCATGGCAATCACTGCGACTGAATAGCATCTAATAGCATGAGTATCACATCACTTCTGATAATGTGGGGCACAGTGTGGCTTTGGCGGTTGCTTTTTGTTTGTATTTGTTTTGGTTGTGTGCACTGATGACTCTTTGTCTGCTCCTGAATATTGACGAAATGTGATACTCTGGCCGGCACAATACCTTGTATTTGCTACTGGGCTTAAACCCGCGCGTGTAGTGAAACTGATTTTTCATACGGTCCTTTGGGTAAAAACACACACACGCACACACACTTAGATCCATGCTCGCAAGAGCGAAATCAGTTTGGAAATTCCCGGGAGTTAGTTACTGCATTAGCCATCGAGAACCCTCAACCCAAAAATGAAAAGGGCCCTGCTCGCAACGGAACGGTCATAAAGTCAATCTGAACCGTATGGTTTACATCATTCGCAAGTAAGAGTTCAAAGGCAGGTACACAGTCAGACATCTCTGACCGCTTCCCATGACACCACTAGCTTCATCCAGCGTTGTGATGTCACGTGCTGGCCCCCTGCTGAGCTGTACAACGCTGAAGTAAGGGAAAAGTAGAACGAATTAGGTCAGTGATTTAAAATTAGATACTGTGGTCAAGTTCCTTGGAGACAGGAGTTGACACACACACTCAGCCGTACCGGCGCTCCCTGATCTGATTTTGCCGCACGCTAAACGAACACACTCGCGAGGTATGTGCCCTTTTTGGGCATAGAGGTTAGCCAAATGCACAAGCGCCTGCGCAGCTGGTGGGAAGGTATACCGTTTAATCAAATGTGCTCGTGAAACAAGCCCGGAAAGACGAAGCCTCTGGCTGCCGGCCGAGGCGTGAGATTGTGTTGAAGCTCGGCCCATGAGTGTTCGATGAGGGCGATGGCAACGTTGCAAAGGGCAGGTGAGAGTTGGGAACCAATACCGGCTCCTCTGGTTTGTTGGTAAAATGTGGTACAGGCTTGAAAAATGCACGTGTTGAGAGCAATGCAAACAATGTGTGGTATGTCGTGGGTGTCAATGGCGCATTGAGTAGGATGCGTGCGGTGATGTCTGCCAATGTGATGCGCGTATCGGGGGGGGGGGGGGGGGGGGGGGGGGTTTGGGGGGGGGGCTAATGATGTTCATGTCCTGCGCATTTCGGACCGACTGTGATGATGATGATGATGATGATGATGCTGGAGGATGAAAAGCGCGCGTTTTATTTGCGCGAAACCACCGTTTCGCAGTTGGATGTGAAAATCGCAACGAGTGTTTGCTTGTTTTCATGTACTACATGCTGCAACAAACCTTTCACATCAATGCAAAACACAGTCACACACCGGATATTCGTCATCATTAACCACGTGAAGATTTGACAAACGTCTGCAACCACACGCGCGGAAACGAGCCCGGCGGGTTGTATTTGTCCAACGGCAGTCTGCAAACGAAGCAAGTGGATCACCACTATATTGTTGCTTGTGCATCTTATTTTATTCAAGAAGCCAAGAAGGCTGAAGAAAAGTTGATTGTTTTTGTGTATACATATATATATAGACTCAATTGGTGAAAAGGAATCACCTCCGACCTGCCTTCTAACTCGGCTCTTTCGGACTGCACTCCAAACCTGAAAGACAGTGACTTGTTATGTTCATTTCGAGTCCACTCTTTTTCAAGTCTGAGACAAAACACAATGTGAAGAGATAAGAAGAAAAAAGGGTTCCTTGCCCTCCGACTCGTTTTCTATTTCACTGTCAGACTTGTGGCTTCTGTTTCAGCCCTCTCTTTGAGAAAGCGACAAGGGCTGATGCAGCCCTGCACAAAGTGAGGCCACGAGAAGCCAGCCCAGCGAGCCCGTCACAGCGAGCTTGGGCCAATGGCCTCCCAAAGCTCCACTTGACTGGTTTAATTCACTCAATTCAGTTGATTCACGAGCAAAGCTGATTCAAACCGCACAATGCACCAAGCTGCTTGACATAGTTGGCAACAGTAGCAGTCCCAGGATGGATCCCAGCCCTCGGGCTGAGGCCAGGAAAGCAAAAGCACTGCCTGCGCGCTCTCTGTACCTAGGCAAACCGAAGCACATTTCAACATCTTTGAAGTGGTCATGTGTTCAACGAAATCCGACCTAATAGCGATGGCCTCCAACCTACTGGCGAGGGCCTCGAACCTAATAGCGACGGCCTCCAACCTAATAGCGATGGCCTCCAACCAAAGAGTGATGGCCTCCAACCCAAGAGCGATGGCCTCCAACCTAGTAGCGATGGCCTCCGACCTACTAGCGATGGCCTCCAACTTCCAACCTACTTGCGATGGCCTCCAACCTACTAGCGATGGCCTCTGTGAATTTGGTGTCATCTGTTTGACCAAAGATCTATTCCTCAACGACTCAACGACCTTACTGGGCTCAAGACGTGCCCTGATATCCGGTAGTTCATGCTCTCGACATCGCTCAGCCATAGCGTGTCAGAAACCAGCGCGCTCTTTGTTGGTGGTTGTGTGATCAGGGTGGACAGTGTTCGGTGAGTTGGGTTGGGCCTCCGCTGCCCTATTTACATGGTAGCGGGGCTGGACGCTCCTCGGCGTGGACATTGTTTGGGGCTATGCGTATTCCAAAGGAATATGAAGGGATTGTGGACTCTAAATTTCCATGGTGGGATGGCAATTGGAGTTCCTATGAAGACTACAAGCCTCGGGTTGAGTTGAGAGCAGATGCGTGCAAGGAGGACGACTTACCGTTTCTAGGACCCAGACTCGCATCCAACCTAGTGGGCAAGGCATTTGACACGTTGGGTGAGATCAAGCGTGATCAGTTGAAGAAGCCGCAGGGGTGGCATTATTTGCTGACATTTTTGGAGGACCAACGTGGCTGTGCCAAAGTGGACATACTCGGTGATACGTTTACAGAGTTTTTCCTGAGGAAAGATGCTTGCCGTCGCGATGGCGAGGAGATCAATGACTACGAGAACCGCTTCAAGACATTGATGAGGCGGATGGAGAAAGCTCTGGCAGAGACCAATTCGACTGCCAAGATGCCACCTGAGGTGTACGGGTGGTTCTTATTGAATGTGTTCATGAGGATGTCACCATCGGATGCAGCAAACATTCGTGGCAAGGCGAGTTCATACAAAGTTGAAGATGCGTTGACCGCCTTGCGATTGATGTGGAGCAGTGGAGGCCTAGGAAGTCGAGATGCAGAGCTTCGACCCAAGAAGACACAGTCCGGACATGCCTATCATCAAGATGAAGGGCAGCATCAACAAGAGTTAGCACAGGAGACAGAGGAGATGGACGAGATCTACGAGTTGGAGGAGTGGTGCGATGATGCCACAGCCGATCTTTTGGCAAATACAGAAGACAATGCAGAGATTCTTGCCAACTTCAAGGAAGCTCGGAGAGCCTTGGATCAGGCAAGAACAGCTCGTGGATTCTATCCGGTGCGACCACCGGGACAATCACAGTTCAAGGGTAAGGCAAGTCAGTCAACGAAGGTGTACACAAAGAGAGAGTCCTATACATCTGACGCTGACAAGACCTGTCTCCGTTGTGGAAAGAAAGGCCATACAGCTCGCCGTTGTCCCCAGAGACCGACAAGCAGTGGGAGCACATCCATTGGTTATGTGGGTTGGTGTGAAGCGTGCGAGAAAAGTGAACCATTGGCACAACCGGAGGTTCCCATGTTGACCACTTGTGCAGATCCGGAGGATCACATGGTGACCACAGTGCCATCACAGGTTGTTGTTGGAGAGAAAACACCCATCACCGGAGGAGGTCACTTGTGATCCCAAGTGGGTGTTGTGCTCTCAGGAGGCGACGGCCGGTCATGTGTTGGCATTGCATTCATCAGAGTTGCGAGGCAAAGCAATTGTTGACTCAGGTGCTTCAGACAACATTGTTGGAGCAGAGACATTGCAGGACCTTGCAGACTGCCTTGAGGAGTTGGATTTCGCAGCAGACCAAGAGATCAAGGTGGACCGACAGATTCACAAACGATTCATCTTTGGAAACGGGGAATCATCAGCTGGATTGGGACTGTCTCATGTGAATGCGGGGATCTGTGGAAGAGAGGTGACAATCCAGTCACACCTGGTGGAAGGGAAGACGCCCTTTTGTTGTCGTCGAAGTTTCTGTATGACATGGACGTGACGATCAACTTTCGATCAGGAAAGGCCGTCTTCAAGGCCCTGAGCCCTCATCAGGTCCAGCTGGAACGGACAGAAAGCAACCATTTGCTGTTTCCATTGACCGCATTTTCTGGGCATCACAACGCCTTAGAGACACTCTTTGTGAAAGACACGGACTTCGACGGGGACGTCCACATCTTGAGCCGGAGTGACCCCGACTTGCCGGAACAGCCGGCCAGTGACCGTAGGACTGAGGCCTTCGCTGAGGCCACCACTGGCGATCAGGGTACGGTGGACGAGTAGGAACAGCTCCACCAAGGCTCAAATGGACAAGCTGGTGCTAGCTTGATAGCCTTGAGTGGAGAGAATTTTAATGAAAAGTTGAGGAATGACACACAGAGCATCCACGTTGAGACGCAACCCCATCAGGACCACCAGACCAGTCTCCTGACTCAGACTCAGCAGGATAAACTGCTGCAAACGATCAAACAAGAACTTGATGTAGGAGACATGTCATTTGAAGGACTGGTAGGAGGACATGGGGTGGATTTGTTGGAACTGTGCGCCCCTTGGGACTCGCCATTTTGTCAGGCCGTGCGGGACTTGGGGGGAAAAGCCTTAGCTCTAGGACTTCATAATGGATATGATTTGTCTACTGTTGAGGGATATAGACGAAGAGCTTTGCAGACAGTTCGACACGTGCGACCACGATATTTGCACATTTCACCACCCTGTTTCCTTTGGAGTGCGTTTCAGAATTGCACAAAAAGTGAGGGAATTCAGCTTGAAGAGTTTTTGACCAAGCGAGCATCAAGCAAAACACTGATCACCAGATGCCGTAGACTTTTGGAAGTGCAGCTCAAGGAACTGGATGGTCAAGGCGGACAGTCCGAGGAATTTCATGGTGGTGGCGAACGCCCTCTTCGAGCTCAAAGTTGGAAAGCCACCGACATGGGGCCCATGGCTAAGATGTGTGGGGGTAGGTTCACAGTACATGGATGTTGTCATGGTATGCTAGATGCCAATACTAAACGTATGGTAAAGAAACCATGGGGATGGTTCAGTAGTTCCATGAGCGTGAGAAAAGCTCTTGAAAGCCATTGCCAACACGAACCACATCAACACATTTCCATTGAGGGTGAACGTACTGCTCGAACCGCCACTTATCCTCGTTTGCTGTGCGTCAGATTTGCAAAGGCCATTTTGAATCCAGTGAAAGAGAACATTTTGTTCCAAACATTTGAGAACACTGCCCGGAGTCTGGTGAATGAATCACCTGACTATTGGAATCAAGAAAACAGACGTTTGATTCGATACCAGACAACGGCTCGCTCTCAGGCTTTTAAACCTAATGAGGTGGCATGCCCAGTGCCTGATGAGCAGCTTTCTTCTTGGCGCAAGACAGTGGCTGTGTTCTTAGATGGGACTCGCGAAGAGAAAGAAGATAACTGGAGAGAAGCAACTGTCGAATCATGTGGACAGGAGAGAGGACCGTGGACAGGAACCACTAGTTTCAAGATTTTACGAACTCTCCAATACAGAAGACATGATTGTTGAAGAAGACTCACGGACCGTGAATCAGATCAAACTCATTCATCGGAACCTGGGACATCCCAATCCCCAAGTCATGCAACGGATGTTTAAAGATGCAGGCGCCTCTCCAGCGGTCTTGAAACAGGTGGCTCTGTTCAGGTGCGACCACTGCCTACAGCGAGGAAGACGGGCAACCTGTCATCCAGCGACGCCGCCCCCCATCCGGGACAAGTGGGAATGCATTAGCATCGACACTTTTTGGTGGCACGTTCCCAAAGAACTTCTGTCCCCAGGTCTAGATGGACAACACGTGGTGGGGATTTTTCTGTTCGATGAAGCTACTGATTATCATACGATCATGGTGGTTCGTCAGGGTAAACACCCCCAACATGTGATTTCCGGGAAGCAATTCAAAGAAGGTTTTCTGGAAGGTTGGATCAAGAGGTTTCCGATCCCCCAAAAGATGAGGTATGATGAAGAAGGTTACATGACGGGTTTCGGGTTGGTCAGCTGGTTGGAAGGTTTGGGGATTAAAAAGGAACCTATAGGTGGCGAGAGCGCATGGCAGATGGGAAAACATTCCCGACACCTGCAGATTTTGAAAGAAAATGCTAATTTGTTGGCTTATGAGTTGGGTGCAGAGACGGATGCCAGAGAGTTGTTGAGCCTGGCTGTCATGGCGAAAAACGAGGTTCACAATATCAAGGGCTATACGCCTAACCAATGGCAGTTTGGTGCCAATCATGGGCGGATCAGCTCCTTTCTCCGTTTCGATGGTCACCTTCCTTGGGACAGCCAGCGTGAGGATCCCGATTTCGAGGCCAGCTTGAAAAAGGAAGCTGCGGCCAGGAAACTCTTCATTGAGGCAGATGCACAGCGACGGCTGCAAAGAGCATTGCGCGGACAAAGTAGGCCACTCAGAGAGTATTCAATGGGTCAATTGGTTTATTACTATCGTAGAGATCGAAAGGAAGGCACTAGAATTGCAGGTCGATGGCATGGTCCAGGAAGAGTTTTGTGTCATGAGAAAACTTCAGAACAACATCTCACGAATCATCCTGGATCAATTGTATGGGTCAGTCATGCTGGTTGTCTTTTGCGATGTTCACCGGGACAGTTGCGACCAGTCACACATGATGTTCAGCAGATTGATTTACAAATCAACGGACCGTCAGGCTTTGAAACGATGTACAAGACTTTGAGACGCCAGCAAAAGTTTCATGATTTGATTGAAGAAAACGTGGATGTGCCTGATGTCTCGCCTGACATGGGTGTTCCGAGATTTCGGTGTCAAGGCAAGAGATCTCTCGACGTAGACAGCCCTCCTGATCCTAGACCACCCGATCTAGGTGCAAGCCATGAGCGCATCAAGCAAGCCAGAATTGAGCCTCAAGGAGAATCTGGACAAACTGAAGCGCTTGACAAGTCATGCGACCGGCAAGGACCTGGTCGAGAAGGCCAAGACCATGCCTATGATCGAACTCAAGGCCATGAAGATCGACTTCGGGAAATACAAGGGACTGACATTCGAAGAAGCAGCAGTCCAACCGGGTACGCCGAATGGGTGGCCAGTCATGTGAACCCGGAGAAGAGCAACCCCATGATGCAGATGTTCGTGGAGTTCCTGAACCGTCGCACCAAAGCGCTGGTTCAACAGATGGAGACAGCAGCAGGATACGGGGGCACAAAAGGCGACCCTCAGATGGTGACCGGGAACACCCAGAAGCGTGGGGGAGTGGAAGATCTGCTCGAAGAGAAGATCGAGAAGGGAGACTTCGACAATGGCTGGACCGTGACAATGGAGGAACCCTCCCACGAGATGATCCAGCTGCAGGAAGAGACCGCAGCACTGAAGCAGCGCATGGGACAAATGGAGGCAGTGCTGTTGCAGATCGCCGAGAAGTTGAACATCGGGTAGAAAGATCCGATCACCAGACACATCGGAGTCGGACCCCACACCGGGATCCTAGAAACATAAGACGGGAAGAGAGTACAGATCTCTCGGGGCCTGTCCAACTTTCAACCATACCTGAAGAAGGCAGTGAAAAGATGGACATGCTGTTTGCCAGAGCTGTGGGAACCACACACACCATTGAGATTCATTTGAGTGTTTCCGCACGAGATGTTCATTGTAAGAGAGGTATTTGGGTTTTGAATCAAAAGGACAAATGAAACGTTGAAGTCAATTTGCGAAAATTGAATGATGAAGATAGAAAGGAATTTGAGAAAGCCATGGGTAATGAAGTGGATTCATTTACATCAAACAGTGCTGTTGAGATTTGTGCGAGTGCTGGTATTCCTCGTGAAAGAATCCTTGGCATGCGTTGGGTTCTAGTGTGGAAACCTATTCAAGATGAAAATGGAGTTGAGATTGGTAGAAAAGCTAAAGCTCGTCTCATTTTGAAGGGTTATCAGGATCCGGAACTCTTGTCGGTGCCTCGGGAAGCGGCCACATTGAGTACATTTGGACGAAACACCATTTTGTCGCTTGCAGCTCAAAGAAGGTTCAAGGTTTATTTACGGGAGACATTAAGACAGCTTATCTGAATGGAGATCCGATGGAATTGGAGCGAAACATATGGGCTGAACCTCCTGAAGAAGTCAAACAGTACCTGAACATGAAACCTCATGAGCTTTGGAGAGTTGCTAAAGCCGTTTACGGATTATGCCATGCACCTCGGAAATGGTTTGAGAAACTTCAATCCGTTCTTTGGAGCCACTGGCAATCGCATCAGGATCGTCTTCCTGCACCGATCCGGCTACTCAGATTTGTGGATACCTAGGTGCACATGTGGATGACCTGGTTGTGGCAGGCGCCGGGGTCTATTTTGAGAAACAAGTGAAACAGCTTCGAGATTCCTTTCCATTCGGAAGCTGGGATTGCGCACAAGACAAGAGTGTCAAGCTTTGTGGATGCGACGTTTTTCTAACGGCAGACTTTGACATTTGGCTGAATCAAGAACGTTTTGCTCTTTCAATTGATGAAATTAATTTGGAACGTTCACGAAAAGACATGCCGCAGTGAAATCCGAAATGAGGAGAGCTTTGGGAGCTTTGAATTGGAGAGCAGTTCAAACGAGTCCTTGGTTGCTTTCTACAGTTTCTCATCTTCAGGGATGTGTGGAAACAGCAACCGTGCATGATTTGATGGAAGCAAATAAAGCCACTAGATGGCAACGAAGACACAGTCATGTGAAGCTGATTTTTCCTCACCAGGTTCAAGACAACTTGTTACCTTTTGTGATGCCTCCTGGGCAACTAGGAGGGATGGTAGTAGTCAAGGGGGTGCATTGACTGTTTTGATGAATAAAGATACAGTACCATGAGTGGAAAAACTCAGCCACTTTTCTGTGTTGAGCTGGACAAGTCGAAGACTTCGACGAATCGCCCCGTCCTCAACGAGTGCAGAGGTGCAAATGACAGGAAATGGACTTGAAGAACATGAGTTCATTAAACTCTTTGTTTACCTCATGAGACACTCTGGACATGTTGACCTCCGAAATCCAGATAGCATCCTTGCTTCAGAGGAGTCATGCATCTTAAGTGATGCCAAGAATGTTTATGATGCCCTCGAACGTGTGCAGACTTGTGGACTCCAGATGGAGGAACGGCGGACTTCAATCGAAGTTTTAGGGATTCGCGAGCGCCTCAATCAGGCGAATGTCAAGTGTCGCTGGGTGTCTGGGGATCAAGAATTAGCTGATGGTTTGACCAAACCTTGGAAAGGAGAACAATTGATCCAGGCTCTTAGTCAGACGACTTGGCGGATAGTGTTCGACCCTAATTTTGTCTCAGGCAAGAAACGGAAACAGGTGAGACAGTTGGAGACTAAATATGGTGATTCCGATTGGTTGAATTTGGTGTGCTGTTTGGATGACTCTATCTTTGGTCAAGAAAGCTTTTGGAGCTGTGTGAATTTGATGTCATCTGTTTGACCAAAGATCTATTCCTCAACGACCTTACGGGGCTCAAGACGTGCCCTGATATCCGGTAGTTCATGCTCTCGACATCGCTCAGCCATAGCGTGTCAGAAACCAGCGTGCGCTCTTTGTTGGTGGTTGTGTGATAAGGGTGGACAGTGTTCGGTGAGTTGGGTTGGGCCTCCGCTGCCCTATTTACAGCCTCCAACCTACGCGCGATGGCCTCCTACCTAATAGCGATGGCCTCCAACCTGATACCAAGCAGCAAATGGGCACAAATAGCGCTGTTGTTGGTCCTCGCCATGATGATGCCAAAGCCGAGGAAAAAGCCCGTCGACAACGCACAGGTCCCCACATCCAGGGCATCCGAACCGTTCCCAAAAAGCAAGTCCTCACGAACTGTGCATCTCGTAGCTCCTACCAGTAGTAGCTTCCTGTGCCTAGTAGCGATGCCAGGAGCCCCTAGTAGCGTCCTTGCTCCTAGTAGTAAGGCCAGGAGCCCCTAGTAGCTTCTTGCTCCTAGTAGCTTTTCTTGGTCCTCTATAAAAACTGTTGTGGCGGAAGCATATCTTGTAGATCAACCTAAAGTTGGCACCTTGCGTGCGCGGTTCTCCTACATAGCGTACCATATCATGTCTTGTAACTCTTCTCTTGCGGTGCCAGCAATTAGACCATCATGTCTAATGATGCTTTGCAATTGTTTCATGCACCAGCCATCCAAGGCCCAAGTCATTCATGTGAAGTCCAAATCAATTTCTGACAACATAGATGCGGAGAAAATGTGAAGCACATGTAGGTTATTAGAAGAACCATGGTAGATAGATTCATTAACAATTCTGGTGGCACCTGGAAGAATGCGCCACTTGTCAACCTGACTTCGAATTAAGCAAGGTTCCAAGATAGTCCACGCCTTCGAATAACAAAGTTTCACAGAGAGACAAACTGACCTTTATTTGTTTCTTTGTTGTTTCACTTCTTTTAATTTGTGCTTTGATGCTTCAGACGTTTGGTTTGGCTCTTTTCCTCCTGAATGATTCTACTCTTGGACACGGGTGGTGTGGGAGCAAGCGCAGCTGCAGCCGGGGCAATTGCCCGGGTTCGGACGCAGTGGATGGTAGGTGCCACTGACTGCTAGTGAAGGAGGGAAGTTGCCAAGGCTGTCTGTTGTCTCTTAGCGGCGGGGGAGCACTGTGTGCTGTGCCTCCCCATTTTGACTCCGCATGAACACTCCAAAGTCGGTGCACAAAGGTATGGCTGAACTAAATAAATTTCGGTCACTGCTCGGGACTTGTCAGCAAATGTGCTTTCTGCGGATTTTTGGGAAACAAACAATTGTTCTAACAAGAACGCTACTAGGGCTCCTGGCATCGCTACTGGGAAGAAGAAGCTACTAGGGGCTCCTGGCATCGCTACTAATCTACTAGGAGCAAGGACGCTATTAGGTGCGTATTCAGTCCTTTATCGTTTGTCCCTTTCCGACGAGTCCATCCGGTCCAGGTTGGCCAAAGCAGCAGTGAGGAGACACACCAAGGCTTGAAAGAACACCATCACCTGCCTGACACGAACGAGCTGGGCCCCAGCAAACCGGATGATATGATTCCTATCAAACCCGTTTATTTGTGAAGTTTGTGCCAAAATTGAAGCCATCTGACATGTGATTCTTGCAGCCCTTGTTGTTCAAGCTTGTTTCGTTGCTGACAATTCACCAAGACATCTATTCATGTAATTTGAGTGCGAAAACAGGAAGCACATCTGAAGCCTCGTTGTGAAAGCAACGGACTAGCTAAACGGGCTATGCCAATAGTTAAAGTTATTGGAAGTTCTTCATTGTCCATCCCCTCCCAGGGCTGGTCTCCCGGTCTCTCTAGTCTCTGGTCTTCTCCAGCTGCGGTCGCCGTTCGACTTCTCTCTCCTCATTTCTGTGTTTCATTTGTTCTTTTCTTTCTTCCTTTTCTTCATCTCTCTCTTCTTCATTTCTCTCTTCTTCATTTCTCTTTTCTCGTTTCTTATCTTTCTTGTTTCTTCCTTTTTTCGTTTCGAGGAGTTCTCGTTTCCATTGTTGTTCCCCTCGAGTGTTTCGGCGTTCGCGTGACGTTTGCAACCATTCGATTGTGATCAAGATTCGTGTCCTGCGGTTTTAGAAGTGTCGAAATAGTGTGAAATTGAAGCGTCCAAACGTAATCATGAAGTGTGGAGGATGATTTTGCTGCGCAGGTGCAGCGTTTGGTGAGGTCAGCGCTTCGCGTCGCTGCGTCACTTTTGGAGGTGTTGAGTGTCGGCTTTTCGGGCCTTTGCCCCCAAGCTTGATGTGAAAATCATTTCGGTGTCGAAATCATTTCAAACAGTGTGCGATTAAAACATGTAATAGCTTTTCGTGGCAGGCGCAGTACGGTGTGCGCGTTGGAGGTGTGGAAGTAAGTTTGAGGTTCTGACGTTTGGTGGAGGTGAATGTCGCTGTAACATGAAGATCGTCTGTGGTTTTGAGATTGCGACTGCTTGGCAGGGATGCTTGATGTGTTTGCTTTGATGAGACTTCCCGCTTCACTTTTGGTGGAAGTCTCATACAAAATGCTCGTTTTAGAGGCTACACGTCTGTCTTCTGGAAGAAGTCTTGTGCGAAATGTTCTTTCTGAAGGCTGGGCGCGTGAATTTTTGGAGGACGTATATGCTCGTTTTGAAGGCGTGACCATCAGTAGTCCGGATTTCGTAGAAGCGTCTCCGGCAAGAGTGTCCAACAGTCCCACAGCGCGGCGAAAATACATCTGTGATGTCGCTGCGCCATCCGCGCGGCCTCGGTGAAAAATGTGTTTACCTGGCTCTCTGCCGAACAGGAAGCACACGTGTCCTACAAGAGTGCCCTACAGTGTCCCACAGTGTCCTTGCAACTGTCGCACAAATGTCAAGCAAGAGTGTCTTACAGTGTCCACAAGGGTGGCCTACAAGAGTGTAATACAGGAGTGTCCAGAGAGTCCTACAACACTGCCTTGCAGAATGACCCACGAGAGCATTCGATAAGAGCAAAGAGTGTCACACAAGAGTGCCTTACAAGAGTGTCTCACAAGGGTATCCTACAAGATTGCCCTGCAAGAGTGCCCTACAAGAGTTTTCCAGAAGAGTGTCCTGGAATAGTGTTTCACAAGAGTGTGAAGCAAAAGTGTCACACAAGCGTGTCCTACAAGAGTATTCTAGAAGCATGTCACCCCATAATGTCTGTCTTAGGAGAGTGTCACGCAAGAGTGTCAAACAACATTTGGCCGTTTGTGTTGGGGTACGTGTGATGTGTGTGCATTCGGGTTCCAGTTCCATCTTGTTTTTTCTTTGACCCTAGACTTTTCATGTTCCTTGCTTTCTGTCTTTCTTTCCTCTCTCATTTCTCTCATCTCGCCTTCCAAAGCGGTTTGCCAAAGGTGCGTAGAGCAGACTCGCTGCGATGTGACCAAAACCGTTCATCAACAAGACCAGCTGGAACTTCTCCTCAATTGTGGCCATGTGAAAAGTAAGCTCATCAACTAGGTTTATGTTACTAGTAGCTTCTTGCTACTAGTAGTAAGGCCAGGAGCTACTAGTAGCGTCCTTGCTCCTAGTAGCGATGCCCTTTGTTTGTAGTAGCTTCTTGTTATTAAGTTTATGTTTTACAACTGTCCCATCTCCCTTCGGTCATGGAAGGAAGAGTCAGAGCGTGCAATCCAGCTCGCTGTGAGAATCGGCGGCACCACGGACACAAAAGCATTTAAGCACCAGCCTCCCGCGGAGCCAACAAACAACTGTCATAAGCGGACGAATCATAAGAGTCTCAAAAGAAGATGTTAAGAGTCATAAGTAAGTCATAAGTCATAAGTATATACAGATTATATACAGTAATCGCCTTGAGGGCCTGACTGCACTTCATCTGGCATTTTGAGAATCCAAACCTCAACAGTTCCTTTTCACTACGATTCAAGAGCTGCTTGGAATCCAATCGTCTTTGGCTAAACTGCTAAACATCTTCTGCTTTGGTCAGCCATGAGTGGCACAGCACAGACCTAGCTCTTGATAGAGGAAGATTGACACATGAAAGTTCGTAACATTGTCCACAACTAGAAGTTCACCAACAGTTTCCGATAGATATATTGTCATCTTAAACATATCCGTGTGCCAAAATCTCAAGGAAGACTCGCCTTCCACAAAGAACCATCGGAAAATTATGCACAACTGGAGGTGTTCACTTTGCAAGAGTGCATTCTGCTTCTCGTTTTGACTTTTATAGTCCTTAACGGTTGCAAAAAAAAATACTGAAATCACAAATCCTCCAATTCTCCTTTGTCTTCGGGCCCCTTCGGGCCTTCAGCCAAGGCCACAAAGCCCAAGCGCCGTGCCGGTGCTTCCCAGAGCAGCCGTGCTGGGCCCACGGCCCGTGGCGATCGAGAAGAGCGCGAGCGCAAGCCCTCCGAGTCGTCGCTTGCGTCGCCGGCGGGTCCGTCGCTGGGAAGAGCACAAAGGAACAGGACGCCTCCCGATGAAGACGAGGGTTGCATCCAAGTGAGAAATGCTGAGGTTTTCTGGTTGCATCAACTTCACACGTGACTCAACACTCAACTCTTCGATGTCCAAACTGCGTGACCTGAGATTGCCAGAACCAATAAAGTCACTGGTGCCACCAAGTTGTCGGGACCAGTCAGAAGCTCCGGTGCTACAACTGCTGGGCCCAAAAATCCGCTTGCAAAGAAGCAAAGCGAGAAAATCGACCTTACGAAAACGTGCCACCTGGAAACTTGTCACAAAATCAGCACCACAATGCTTCATCCGCTGTGAAATAGATTTAGATCACTTGGCTGGTATGTGACAATGCGGACTTCAATGAACTGCTGCAAAGAGGCATGTACCAGTTTAACAAATGCTCGGGAGCATAGTGCGTCAGAACGTAACCCTGTGAAGGCCACAGTAGTCCTTTGAGTTGGACTTGTTTGGCATGTTGCCGTAGTTGAACGTTGAACTCCATTTTTGCGTACTTTGTTGGCGCATGTTGCTTTGCGGGGAAGAAATGCAAGAGCACTGCACATTCAAATCATTCCGTCGGTACACCTTTAGGTCCGCAGAAAGAGTCAGCTAAGACTTTTCCCACCAGATCAACCCACTCGACCCACTCCTCCAATGAGGCCGCTCAAGAGCGTCACCAATTGAACCATCACAGCGATGGCAACTGGAGCGTTTTCGATCAGCTTCCCTCGGCAATGGAACTAGTAGGAGCATTCTTGCTACTAGGAGCAAAGGGCAAAGGACGCTACTAAGGGCTCCTGGCCTTACTACTAGCAACAAGAAGCTACTAGGAACAAGGGCATCGCTACTAGGATGACGAGTCGACAATTCTATTTTCAATACTGCTCAATACGGTTCAATCTTCAATACTGAGAAAAATCTTGCCAATGCTGCAGTTGAAATAGTACAATTGCAACAATGCATCTATCACTATATATCCGATCTCCTGAATAGTACAGGACTAGCGTTCAGCTGAGCTACTCGGAAGGTGGCTCACGGTCAGCAAAGATGCGATAAACAAAACGAAGCCAACCGCGGCGATTGGCAAAGTGACTCTTCCACTCATGCGTTGAATAAAATAAGGAGCCACCTGCACTGTTCGTTCACCAAATCATATGCTTGTTTACTAGGGAGACGCGGCCGATCAAAGTGCAAGATTTCGCGTTTGATAATGGGAATCCAAGGAAACATAAGCACACACACAAAGCGGTCGTCGTCGCAGTGGTCACCAATGAGACTTGGAAGATTGAAACCGCACCTGATTTCCAAGAAGCAACGAGAAGTAGAAGTTGGCCAGCGTATAGAAGCCAAAATCTCCCAAGCCGGCTTCACTGATGCGCTGTGGTGCCGCATTTTGCGCTTCCTCAAAGTGAACAAAGACGTGCTGGGGAACAAAGAGCATAATCATGGGAAGTTAGATTCATGTATATATGTATCTTTGAAGTAATCTCTAGAAGCAACATTCCAGCTCTGGAATTGACTGCTGTGGCACATTCCGGGTTTTGTCAATCTGTGGACACTGGATGCTTTCACATACTATGTCCAACACTGTCCAGCTTTCTCAAGTCCTCGAGAAGGCAACACCCTGTGGAGCTATATCAGCTTGATTCGAGTGCTCCACACGCGAAACATAAAGTTGAGTGGCCAACAAAATCAATGAATTGAAAAGGCACGCACCAAGATGGGCCCTCAGAAGTGTTGTCTACGTGGTGTGCTTCACTATTCTATAAGTGGGATCGGAATCGACGAGTGAATCAACCCTAATTGACGCAAAACTTGATATCGACCTACACCTTCTTCAGCCTGGATGTCTTGGGGGCACTTGCACAAGTTGATCGCAAAAGCACGCTACGCGTCTTTTTTTTGCGCCATCGTTTCACCGCCTGGAAGGCAACGAAGAGGAGCGTCATCCCGGCGCACAGACACAAAAGCCCGCAAGCATTCGGCGCACGAGCCGCACACCGTTCTCGAACTCCCTGTCAAAGGTGAGAGACCGAAAAGACGTGCAAGGGCGTGCATCTGTTTCATCTACAAATCGGAATTGAATGGCTTTAAGAATGGACCTCAACTTCAACAGCTTCAGCTTCCAGTATCTGAGATGGTTCTTTGAAAGCGATGGCCTCCAACCTAATGGCAATGGCCTCCAACCTAATAGCGAACCAGTCCTATTGGCTAAACAGGAAAGCAAGTTTCCGCTGGCCTCATCGTTGGGGATCTCTTTGTCTGTCATAGCGTGCTACACTGTTGCTATCGGCCGCAAGTTTGTCAACCAAAAGTCTGTCCGAACTTTGGACTAAAGAACACTCAAGCGTATCTCAGTGATTGCAGACACAGTTGATCTTCCCATCTCCGCGGTTTTCATCGGCCTGCTCTTGAATAACCACGTCTGTCTCAGATGCTGTTGAGCTCATCAAAAAGAGGATTTGTTGACACGCTAGTCTTTCCCGCCCCTGCAATTTTGAGGCACAATGCCTATTTGGATAGCAGAAACTGCACTAATTGAACAGCTTTACTTGCACATTCTTCAACCAATACATTGAGAAAGCAATTCAGCCTTAAACACGCCGTCTTTTGGTTGGAAGCCAGTCGGGCAGTTTGGCAGTGACTGAAGCATTTTGCTTCGGGGAGCAGCTTTACAATGTGAAACAGCGCGTGAGTGAGAAACCTCAAAGCATGTTGCTTTCGATTTGCAGCTACGCTCCGCTTTGCTTCCTAAAAAGCAACACAGCTGTGCGTTCTGTTTCCAAACAACTTAGAATGGACCTCCTTGCGCCAGGTGCACATGTTCAAATCCAAAACATTGTCAGATGGTCTGAATGGAAGCTGCGAAGTCTAAAGATCACGTCAAAACATATATTACACGGAGGGCTTCCAAAATGGAGTTCCAACTTGAACTCTTTGGCTCTGCCACGGGAGTTGGTGTCAGTGCAAGTGCAAGTCAAGGTTTTGTTACCCAGTTCAAAGTACAACTGGCAAAATTTTTACCTTCCATCCGATTTCCGGTGAATCTGAGTAAAAAATTGCACACTGGCACTTAAAAAACTGCATCCAAGAAATCTGAGTACGAGATCACCTTGGAAAGGCCAAAAGTGGAAGGAGCCGTCTCGGATTGTTTTTCTCAACCTGTAAAGTGTGCATTGAAGGCCTGATGTCTTCAATTTCTCCAGAACACAACCATTGACCATCAACCCTCAGAAAAGAACATGAGGCAACAAAAAGCAATGATCAACAACTCAGCTATCGAATGCTGGACATGCATCCTCCTTCTCCAAGTGTATGGTTCCATGTGGGGCGTATCCTTAGCCAAAAGCAGGCTGAGTACCTAGTCGGTGCTTGATACTGATTTCCAACGAGATTCCAAACACATTGTACCGCATGCCTCTTCCATTAATGGCGGACAGGTACACAGACCATGGTCCCTTTGTGCTATCCAAGTATGTCCATACCTGAGGAGACTTCAGAAGAAGGGACAGAGCAACAAATACAAACTACTCCAGCATAGACCATAGACCCCCAGAAAACAAGATCAAATTTATCAACATTGCCAGAAAAGGTCAGTTTATCAACAAGGTGCTTCAATGGTTAAGCGTCTTGTCAATGGTTTTCAATTCTGATACAACTGAGTTCTACACGTAAACAGAGCAGCAGCCCTTCACAAACACAATCTGCCAAAGTTATGGCACTTCCAAACCAAGGCCATTAATAGCCGACACAGCGAGAAACAGACAGCACACAACCTTTGCAGTCTCATGCCACTCAACGTGCAAAGACCATGATGGCAGGTGTGATGTTGTGCGCATGCAAGTACGCATACGAATTGATGCCCACGAACACAACGGTATTGCCATTCTCAAAAATGGTCTTGCAAAGGCAAAGCAGCTGCAAAGCAAAGCCACTAATAGGCGGTGGCACAGCAAACAGCTACACATCACTCCTGCACTTAGGCAAATATGCATAACTGTAAATATGCGTCGCCTTTCACAAACAAGCATATTTACAAGTCAAAGTCCGGTGGCTTGCAAGGTCACTTTGACATACCTGCACCGACACCCGTCTCCAAAGCGCGCACAGCCAACTCCTTCTATACACGTAAGAACAGATCGCAGCTGCAGAAAGCGTTTTTGTTCAACAAGTATTGAGTTAACAAGGTTTTAGTATGTTTTCTGCAATGTTTTTTCACTCTGCATTCAGAACAGTTTCAGAAAATGGCACGCACTGCTTAGGGCAAGTCATAGCAGCTGCAGATTCTTGATATTGATGCCTTGAGATCCAGTTGAGATCCTGTTAGGTTCTGCTGTCAAAAGGCATGCCGGTACCTGAGCTTTTCCTTCTTCTTTTGCCCATTGCTGTCAATGATGAAGAGCAGTCCGGTAGGTTGCCTCAAAAATCCACAAGCCTATCCAGAAAAAATGGCCACAAAATGTCCAAACGAACAAGGCACGACTTGTCTTTGTAATTCATGCCATCTTCCTTTCGGACTTTCCATTCGCGCCTGGACATGTAGAGCGCGGTGGGGAGGGTTAGGCTGCGAGGTAGAGGTGATAGCATAACGATGCCCTTTGTTCCTAGTAGATTCTTGCTCCTAGTAGTAAGGCCAGGGGCTACTAGTAGTGTCCTTGCGCCTAGTAGCGAGGCCGTCTGTTCCTAGTAGCTTCTTGCTTCTAAATAGTAAGGCCAGGAGCTACTAGTAGCGTCCTTGCTCCTAGTAGCGATGCCCTTTGT